AGACAGCAGTGCATGGTTACACACACACACACACACACACACACACACTATTATTACTTTGTAACATCTGAAAGAAAATGAAATAGAAAACCACTGATTAGATTATGATCCACTGAATAAAACAGACAGTTTTAGAGTCTTAATGCTGAATGTTTATCACTATTGTTTTTCCACCTACATACGCTTTGATTGGTAAAGTGAAATCAGGGAATGAAACTTAGTCGGCATTTTAGCCTCAAACAACAAACCAGCGCTGTGACACATTGTTTACACATGTGGGAGGTGTTCCAATTATGCGATGGGCACAATCTATTCTGCTGTTTTGACTTTTGTGAATATTACAAAAATAAAGTAGTTGTCCTCCTAACGAATAGACTACTGCTTTTTGTTGGCATTTTTAGTAAAACTCCAGCCAATGAGTGTTTTTCCATCCCTTTATTTATATGCCTATAATAAATATTTTTCCCCCCAGAGGGGTAGTACGTGGATCATTGCAGAAGCAAATATGCGCGTTGTTTTCTGTCAGATGTGAATATCATCAATGTTTTATGGATTTTTGGGGTGCGTTTTGGTGGAAAATGTTTAAAATATGTCTCATTGCACACAGGATTACTCTGGAATACTTTAGCAATGTTGCAACTTAGACGACTGGATCCAGTAGCTTCTCAATACCACCGTTGTAATTCATATCTGTGCGTTATACCGATCCAAAGTTACGAGCCTGAGATTAACAAGGGTGAAAAATCAATATAATTTTGTGGTTGTTCGGTTCCAAGGGTTAATTCATTATTAAAATTTCTCTTCATGTATCAACATGTTAAGAATAACAAAATCAACCTGAAATGATCGATCTCTTGCCGCTACTCTGCACCGGCAAGTACAGCAAGTTTCACCTTGCCACGCGTACAATTGTACACTGTACAATTCAGTAACTGGCTTTTGACAATTTTACACTGGCATGCTCTTCCTGTTTAACACTGATTTTTAATGTTGTGATATTCTTTTTTGTATTCCATTAAAAGCATGTAATTAAATTCCCCAGGTAATTTGGGAAAATTTTCAAATTAAGTTAAAAGATTTGAATCTTGATTATCAAAATAATCAAATCAATGAATGGAATCAAATTGTAACAGAAATTAAAATTCTCCTAATGGGTCAATTCATTCCCTCAATCGTAAATCAAACTGGCTTGGGGGCAACAAGTTCGACCCCCAGCTACAGGATATTTGCACAATTTGTGAAGCCATTAGGGAATGAAACTAATGTCACTATGACATTAGTTCAAGTCAGACAGACATTTCAAAGCGCAAGGTTACTTGCATGCTTTAGACTAATGACCAGTCTGAATTATTACCTGGGCCTTTGATTAACGCACATCTCTTTCTGATGTTTTCAGAGACTTGTGCCTTCTGGATGACGGCTAATCGTTTAAATGTACGTTAATTAAGCAGGCATTTGTTCAAAGTGACACTAAAGAGGAAAGCTTGGGGTCAGAATGGGTGAGCCAGGGTCCCAGGAGTATTTGGGATTACAAGCCCAACAGTGATACGATTACTGTTGGCCATGGGATTTAAACCAACAACCTTATGGACACAGGCACAGATTACCAACCTACTCAGCTACACATCTGAGTCACAAAGACAGACAGCCAGGTAAGGAGCTGTTAGAAAGGAGCACTGGGCTTGCCACGCTCCTGCCCAACGCCTGACCTCCTGCCTGAAGGAAGCAGCGCAGCAAAATGCCTGACCTCTTCCACCTGTCCATCCTCTCCACCATCCTTGTCCTTGTCCTCATCTTCATCTTCGTCGTACTCGTCTTCCTCTTCCTCATCCTCCTCCGAGGATGTATCCCCAGCACCGTCCACCTGGAGCATCATGGGAGGGGGCTGCTGTGCGGGGGCTTGCTGCTGCTGGGGCTGCTGCGTCTGAGCCTGCGGCGGCGCTGCCTGCTGCTGCGGCTGAATCTGCACGGCTCCCTGGCTCGCCTGCGCAGTCATCGCAGTCGCTTGCATGACCTGTCATACACAGAAGCTACAGGTCAGACTGAGAAACCGAAGAACCTGCCGTTTCCATTAAAGCAAAACTCATATTCCCCCAAAATGCAGATCACAAATCAGAGGGCACCATGCAGTGGAAGGGACGTCAGTCTAGCACACTAAAAACAGGTATTTCAGAAATACCATCTAGTAGGGGTGTAACAATACTGTCTACCACGGTATATCATCAAACCTTTTGGTACATCACCTGCTGTAGTATTTAGCCCTTGAAAATAAGACCCCGGTTTTTTAAGATGTATTTTCTTGGTGAAAACACACTCTTATACTCACGCCATTACATATAGAGAAATGACAGGCATATTGTAATATTGTAGTTCACGTGTGCCAGAGATATTCACAAGTAATTTTTTCCAAGTCAAGTCTCGAGTCTTTGAAGGGCAATGCCAAGTCAAATCTCGAGTCTTTGAAGGGCAATGCCAAGTCAAGTCTCGAGTCTTTGAAGGGCAATGCCAAGTCAAGTCTCGAGTCTTTTGTCCCAAGTCCAAGTCAAGTCTCAAATGAACGTTCTCTCATCAGATGCTATCTGCGGAATAGGCCTACAGTATTTTTGAGATAGACGTTCTGAAGGATTCTTCTTCACGTACTCTACGTTTTAATATTTTTTCCTGAATAACCATTTGGGCAGCTGAACAGTTTTACCAGGTGCACTGATATAACAGTAGCCTATTCTATAACAGCGATTAATGCATAGGATTAACGTTAGGCTACATCAATAGACTACATCCATATACACTCTGCTGCCATCTGCTAACTGGTAGCAGAGTATAGGCCTTCTATTGGCCTGCTACTTGCTGGTAGCCTAGGCTTGAACGTAGTGAGATGCTAATCAAATAAAACGGGTGGGGACCAATAAAGCTGTAATCTGCATGTAGTCTGTATAGCCTACAACTGTGGTTTGATTAGTTTGCTAGCAGTAATGTTACTTGTCCATACGCGCCAAGTTTCCCTTTCACCTAACCAAGTGACTGACCAATCCCTTGTACGTTTTGAGGTGCCTGATGAAGTTGGACGTAGTTGAGCCGGCATCATTTGTCCTGACGCCACACACTTTGCAAGTGGCCGTTCACTTGTTAGCCGTCTGTGTGAAGGCTTTATAACCAAATGCGATAACAAATGGCTCAGCTGCAGGTGAACTTGCCGTCGCCATGGTCTGTGTTGATTTGAAATCTGTGGCTCTGCGCATGCGTCACGTTGTACGTAATATCAAGGGAGGGAAATATTCAGTCTGCCTCCGATTTTCCCATAACACATTGGAAAAACAAATGAATGAATGTATGGTTATTTGGAAATATAGAGTTTAAGTAAAGGGAGACACGTGTTTGTTTTAAAACTAAGGATGCCTGAAACCTTACCACTGCCACGGCCCCAACACCGCGATACATACTGAACTATGGGCAAAATGTATTCAGCCATTTTGCTAACCAGCGTCTTACACAGACCATACTAAGCGACTGAGCTTAATAAAACATGTTACACTGTTAAAACAAATCAGATCAGAGGCTCACACGGGAATAGTGAATAAGCCTTAACTGGGATTATTGGGACTGCAAGTCACCCGAGCTGCTGTTACTGGCATTTGACGAGAGCCATTTAAAAAGGCATTTACCACAACTAGCTGAAATGGGGCCCCGGGCATCAGCGCCATCAGCCATTAGTTTGGACCAACTGTTCATCAGTGAACAGCACATGCCAATTTTTCTGAAGACGTTCTCCTGATTAAGCCTTAATATAAACCATTCAGGCACATAGATGATGTATCTCACAAAGTTTAAAAGGTGGCAGTCAGAGACACATGGACGATCATCCAATGGCTAAGCTACACATTAACAAAATCTTTGAGTACCGCCCCTAAAAGTCCAGGGTGACCTAGGAGAAGGGCAGCAGGTACCCTTTGTACGCTGTAGTCACAGTAACCAGCCTGGCTCTCGGGTCACATGGCCGAGGGAGGGGCCAGTCGTAAGTGGTAGAACATCCTGAAGGCTCACCTGCGTGTTCTGTGCGACTTTGTTGCCAGCCAGGACAATCTGTTGAGGCTGGATGATGACACCAGTCTGCTGGGGGATCCCGCCTTGCAGAGGGGTCAGCACCTGATGAAGAGCACAACCTGGGTCAAAGGCACATCAACCACCAAATGAGCAAAGCCACCCCCCCCCAGAAGAACATCTACCTGCTGTATGACCGGCGCCTGCACCCCTCCAGGCTGCATCTGCTGCAGCACCACCTGCTGCTGCGGCTGGAGGATGTACTGGGCACCGTTGGGGGCCCTCATTACCTGCAGGATCTGACCTGGGAACCAAACCACACCGCTAACAAATCCAGCTAAACTTACACAAATTATCAGGAGAGTCATTACCACTCTCAAACCTGGACTAAAACACTACCCAATGTAACAACTAGTGTGAGGTACAAGAATTAAATAAAAGTGCACCCTCTGCTAGTCCTTTGACAGTGTCTGGACCCACCCCATGGGAACAGAGATGCCAGGGGGGGCTTTACCTTGATTGGTTGTTATCAGCTGCTGGTAAGGTCCGACTCCCGTGGGCAGGGCAAGCGTGGCTGCAGTGGCTGCCGCACTCTGCGGGGACAAGCAGCCGACACAGAACAGAGGACGCCTTAGCAAGAGCATATTGAGGGATGCGACGTCAACCGCTGTCTAATGCAGCCTGAAGCTCATCCCCAGCCAACACTCAGGGACAGTGTCACACAGCTGCACAGAAAGCATCTCAATCAGGTGCCAGGTGACTCACCATCCCTGTGACGGTCATGTGCTGGAGGACCTTGGGATCCTGCATGATGACCTGCTGCTGTGGGGCTGCAGGCAGAGGACACACACACACACACACAC